TGAAAATGGCCTGCCTTACCCTGTCTTATTTAACTGTGTATGGAAATGGCCTGCCTTATCCTGTCTTATTTAACTGTGTATGGAAATGGCCTGCCTTATCCTGTCTTATTTAACTGTGTATGGAAATGGCCTGCCACATCTTGTGTGATTGTGTATGAAAATGACCTATCATACCCTGTGTTATTTTATTGTGTATGAAAATGGCCTGCCTTACCCTGTCTTAATTGTGTATGGAAATGGCCTGCCACATCTTGTGTGATTGTGTATGAAAATGACCTACCATACACTGTGTTATTTTATTGTGTATGAAAATGGTTTGCCATAGACAGGTCAATTTCAGGAATTAAACAGGCAAAGATTTAGTAGGTGTGACAAAGATGTGTTGTTTGCTCAGATTATTATGCAAGCAAGAAGGCAATTTTGAACATAAAAATAATTAAATCAATTAAATTACATTTGGTTTATAATATAAACTAAGTAGGCTATAAAATGTTATTTTTGGTCACATTTATTTTTGTTTTCTGTTTTATGATGATGACAGGGCCTCTATGTTTCCTGACTGCAGTTTGTCCTCTGCTTCCCTTCCTCTCTCTTCTCCACAACTGTGTGTCACAAAGACTATTTATATCTGAGACTATTTAAAATATCTAGTTTGTGGTTCAGCAGGGGAGCCTGCACAACACAGAGAAGTGCTCATTGCTCGGATTGACTGAACACACAAATAAATCACGAAATAAACATTCAGGCACCTAAACATCTCTTAACTTTAACATAAAATTAGTCTAAAACCCTGTCCTAAAATGTGACGGGTGATTCCTATAGAAGTGTCGGGCGTTCAGTTTGTCTCATAAATTTTCTGTTTTGAATTGATTTAATTGCGAACATTTACAGAAACACTCATTTTTTTTCTAAACACAAAAAACAGAATGCTCATGGCAGAAATTTAAAATGAGGCAGATTGTCCAGCCATTTTCTCTAAAACCATCACTTTTTAATAATTCACCATTTCTAAAGTGATTTGCTAAATTAATGTTTATTTTAGTTTTCAACTTACTCTTAGTGTTCTGTAGTGATTTCAGAATGTTATCAAAATCACATAAAAAAATCAATGCATTTCCAAAAATAAAAGCAATTTTTTTACTTAATAAAAAGGCGTGCCAAGAAAAATGGCTTTAATGGTGAAACACTTTGACTACTTTAAAAGCTTATTATCTTCTATTTATTTTTAAGATTCAGCTGTCAGATTCACATAAAGGTTTCGGCCTAAATCAGACACTTTCCTCTGCAAAACCCAGACTGTGGCTGGTTGTCCTCCCTGTCACTCTTACAGCTTAAGTTCTGTTTTAAAATAATTAATTTAACTCAGTGCAAAGTGTCATAAAATGTTAATAATAAGTGGTTTGAATCCAAACATATCTGCAGATTAGTCATTAGGGTATCGGTAGTTGCTGGTAATATTTACAGCCTCGGCTCCTAAAGGTAACCTGTCGCTGTATTCGGAGCCCTCCTCGCAGTCGTCTGGGTTTTCTCTGCTCTGAGACAAAGAGAAGGAATCGGTCACAACACTCTCCTCCGTGTCGGCCTCTTTCTCCCCATCGTCTGCGCTCTCCGCCACCTCGTCCTCCTCGTTGATCTTCTTCTGCGATTCGGTGCGCGGCGACATGTTTAGGCTGAGGCTCCTCTCTGAGTGGTACTGGTCTTTGGCCTTCAGGATCAGCTTGTACGTCTTGTTCCTGTATTTGTACACCAGGTGGAAGCATGTGGCGCCTAGCAGAGGCACGGTGGACACGGTGAGGAGGCAGATGCTGACTGAGATAATGATCACCAGGTTTGGGACCCTCTTTCTGGTGGCAAACAGGACTTGGACTTCACAGTCCTCCCCTCTCCAAGTCAGACACAGGGAGTAGTTGGTGCCCGGTTGTAAACCGCTGAACTGATACGTGTTGACGCCTTCTTTGATGCGGGACCACTGCACGGCGGAGTGTTTGCCGTCTGCAGCGATGCACAGATACAAACCGTTTGAGTGGACTTTATCAAAGACATCAGGGAAGTCAAAGCGTTCCTCACTGTTGGTCTGGAAGTTCTTGGCGGCGGCAGCGTGGTTTGCGCTTCTTCGTTTGGGTACGAGGTGAGGATTAAGACGCACGGTTGCTTCTGTTTCTGACACACCTAAAGCTATGACACCAAAGTCAAACATGTACTGTTTCACATCGTCCAGGCTCCCGTTTAGGACGTGGCTGGAGATGTTCTTGGTGTTTGCAGTCAGCCCACATTTACTGGATTGTGGCAGAAGCGTCTTGTCTTCCTCAGATTTAGACATGGTGCTTTCTGCAGTAGAAGCTAAAGTGTCTTCAGTCAGAGTGTCTTTTCTCTTTAAATCAGAATCCGAAGGGGACATTTTGTCTGTTTGTTTGTGTCTAGATGGATTTGGTTTAGTGAGTGTAACTGTTGTCGTCATTAGTTTTAAAGGTGTTGGTTTTGGACGTGGCATCACTTTCACAAATACCGAATCCTCAGAGCCACCAAACCTGTTTGTGGCCGAGCAACTGTAGTTTCCACTATCTTCTTGTCTGAGGTTTGAAATGAGAAGAGTCCCGTTGTTAAAGACTTGAAGAGAGTTTTCCGCATTCGATTCTGTGGAGGCTTCTTCACTGAGGGATAAAACCACCTCCTGCTTTCTGCTTCTACTCTGAATGTTCCACATCACCAGGGGCTTTGGATTTCCTTTAAACTCACAAGTCAGAACCAGTGTACTGTCCTCGTAGAAACTTGTGGTATGAATACTTGGCTCAGTCAGTATTGTCACATTTGGGCTTGAACAATTTGACTCAGGCAGTTTTACAATTAGTTCACCCTTAAGCTCCTCGGGAGCTGCGCAGCTGATCAAACTCTGCTCCGGGATCGTGATGGTGGTTGTCAGAATCCAGTCTCGGAGCCAGTCCAAGAAACAGGTACACTCAAAAGGGTTGTTAAAGATTTGCAAATGGGACAAAGACACCAAATTGTCAAACGTCCCTTCAGCTAAAGTTACAAATTTATTATTGTTGAGTCGAAGAGACCTCAGGTCTTCGAGACTGGAGAGAGCGTCTCTTGGCAAATTGGACATTTTGTTGTGATTCATCCTCAGGAGCTGCAGAGCCGGGAGCTTCTGCAGATCCTCCCAGGGGAAGTCAACAATCTTATTGTGGCTGATGTCTAAGTTTCGTAGATGAACCAATTGTGCGAGGCTCCCTTGTTCAATGGAGACAATCTGATTATAGGCCATCCACAGAGACATCACCTGGGTCACATTATCAAAGCTGCCTGCAGGTATCAAACTGATCTGGTTAGAGGACAGGCTGACCGTCGTAACGTTGGGAGGGAACCCATCTGGGACTTCATTTAAATGTTTGTTGGAGCATTCAGCAACGTGCCGACCATGTTTATCTGAGCAGGTACAGAGCTCAGGGCAGCCGAGGCCTGCAGAGATGACGGTGGACATCCAGAAAATAAAAGTAAAAATGTCTCCAGGCCCCATTTCTGCTCCTGGAAAACAGGCAGAACAGAACAAACAGAATCAAATCAAGGTAAAAAGAAAAGTGTATTTCCAAAACAGAGTTATAAACTCTAACCTAGATTTTATATTCCTGCCACAAGTTTGATAGAAAATGTGAGAGGTTTTTACACAGGGACTCATGTCAACAAAATCAAAATTAATGTCTCCAGAAGCATAAAAAACAAAATTTATAGATTTTCCTCTATTTTCCACTAAATAATTAAAATGACATGCTAAATAC